GGGCTCTGTCTGGGGCGCCCGGCTGGTTGGGGGGTGCCCTGGTGCCCCTCACTCCTTCCTTCCTTCCTTCCTCCAGGTTCCCTGAAGCTGCGGCACGTCTGGAGCCTGCATAAGATGCGGTGGTGAGAAGTGGGTGGGGGGGAAACTGGGGGGGCCTGGGGAGCCACCTCCCTGCTTACTCCCTGTCCCATTCCCCACCAGGACCCCCACAGCCGCCGACATCTGCTTCACCAGGGAGCTGCACTCGCGATTCTTCAGCCTGGGCCGCTGCGTCCCTGTCTGCCGGGGTGAGCGGGGGGCGACTGGTGTGGTGCTGAGGGGGGGGGGATCCCCTTCTGTACTGGGGTGGTTGTGGCTTGTACTGGGAGAGATTCCAGTTTACCTGGGAGAGAGGTTGTGCTGGGCTGAACCCAGTGCATGCTGGCCTGGTCTCAGTCCTTACTGGAGGGATCCTGGCCTGGAGGGATCCCAATGCACTGAACTTGTGTCCGCAGGGGATGGTGTGTACCAGCGAGGGATGGATTTCATCCTGGAGAAACTAAACCAGGGGGACTGGGTGCACGTCTTCCCTGAGGGTATGGGGGGAATCATTTGCTCTGGAGGAACTGGGAACACTGGGGCTGGGGGGTGTGTGTATACCAAGGTCACTGGGACCCCCAGTGGAGCTCAGGGGCAAACTGGGAGCATGAGGAGAGACTGGGAGCGTTTTCTTCAGGTTTGGAGGCCGGGGGGACCCTCGGGGCTCTCCTGTGCTGCCCACTCCATGGCCCTCTGTCCCCACAGGCAAAGTGAACATGGGGCAGGAGTTCGTACGCTTCAAGTGGGGTGAGCCCCCCAACTGTTGTGTCCCCCTCACATTGTCTGTCTGCTGCCCAACTCTTCCTCTCTGTTCCCTGACCTTCAGCTGCTCCTCAACCCCAGTTACCCCCATTGTCCTGCTCTCCACCCTTTTCCCCCCCTCGCCATGGGCACTTGCCTCCTCTTCCCCCTAACTACTTCTCTGCCCCCTACCCACCCCTTCAGCCCCTCCAAGGGCTTCCCACCCCCTCCAAAACAGCCACATTGCCCCGTCCCGCAGGCATTGGGCGTCTTCTGGCTGAGTGCCGCCTTGACCCAGTCATCCTGCCCCTGTGGCATGGGGGTGAGCAGCGATGGGGGGACAATGGGGGAGGTGGAGGGCAACGGAGGGGGAACGGTGGGGGGTGGGTGGTTGTGTGTAGGGTGCAGCAGGAGCTGGAGGCGCTCCTGGGGCTGTGGTGGGGGGTGGGCTGTAGGCAGGTGGGGCCATGGGAGGGAGTCAAGAGGGCGCGGGGAGCGGGGTCCCGCTGCGGAGCGGGGTCCCGCTGTCGGGCAGGGTCCTGCTGTGGGGCCTGTCCTGCTGCTAGCCCGCGCAGGCGCCTGCTGCCCCCCGTGCCA